CCGTGTACCTCATGTTAACACAGGCAACAATTTCATTAGCATCAAGATTCTTAAAACTCCAACACTTTTAAGAACCTGAGTGCCAGTACCCATAAAAGAAAAAGAGAGTTCTTTTCCTAATGGCTGCTTAACTACACTGTTCAACCAAAATACACTATGTCTCTGTGTTGTACACTGAGGATATTTTTCACTTTCATAAAGACGTGTGTTCTCTTTAGTTTTTTGCACACTTGTTTTGTCTCCCTACTTTTGATAAACATGAAAATTCTGTTAAATATTCGTTTGCTTCTGAAACAACATAGAGTGATCACTCAGAGAAAGGGTAAGCAACGTTTGGTCCAGGGGTTGGGGCATGGCGTGCAGTGCCGGGGAGGCCTCACTGAGGTGTGTCTTGGTGGGGAGATGGAGCTGTCTTCTCCGTTCAGTGGCTTGCTGCTCTCTGAGATTGGTCTCAGTTATTTCCAGCTCTTCATGGAAAGCCAGAACTCTGGATTTCATTGAAATCTCCTAGTTGTAAAAATCAACTCCTATTCTTTTTGTAAGCCCTCAGTTAGCCGCACACTGTAGGCTGCAAATGCATGCACCTTTTTGATTACAAGTCTGAATGAAACTCATTATACCCCCCTGTTTGCTTTCTTCGTAATTTGCATCATCATGTGTTTTAACTCAGACTGTGGATGGTAAGGTTGTGTTGGCCACTCCAGAGACAGGGAGAAGAAAATTGAGCTAGCGACTTCCTGAGTGTGAAATGATATCATGCCCAAGCCTAGTCCTAAAAAATTAGTTGTGTATGTTTTAATAAGTTTTAGGAATTCTTGAGCCAGGAGAAACCATCCAAAACCATTTTACCCTTTAAGATCTCAGATGGAAACCCAAAGTCCTCATGCCATGTTCTAGATGAATCTCTGGCCGGACCCTGCTCTTGTTTGCTTGCCTTGCTCCACCCCCAGTCATTCTGGGTTCAAAGCGTTGGACTCCAGTGTCTGCTGTCCAGCCAGCCAGCCAGAAGGTGGAGAGTGAAGGGAAGTTCAGCGAGGGTGGTGACAGCACTGTTCTGAAGTTTTGGGGAAGCAAGAGGCCGTAAAGCAGTTCTGCAGGAAGTTTGAGCAGTAAAACAAAAAAACCCTCTTGTCGTTTCAGCTGTGAACCTGGGGCTCCTGCACGGAGCAGGCTTGTACACACTATTCAATAAATAAATGCGCAAATGGAAGGTCTGATGAATTATAAGAGTGTTTATCAGGGCTAAAGATTAACAGGATGCAAAGCTTGGTTCCTAATGCCAAGAATTAAATGTAAAAGGAATCAGGATTAGTATATTGGGAAAAGGCTAGAAGATAAGCCATTTAGGGTTTTTAAGTGTGTAAAGAAATGGCTTAGGGAAGAACGAGCAGAAAAGAAGCTTAAATTAGAAAGGTCTAAGCTGTAGGCTGAATTGAGGGAGTTCAGTATAAAATTGAATGGAGATCGACTGTGTAATGTTTTCCCAGCTCTGTTAATGTACTAAAGGTCATTGAGTTATATGGTATGTGAATTATAGCTTAATAAAGTTATTGCCCAAAAATGTTTTAACAAGTGATATTTTACCATGTCAACCTACTTCATGTGCAAGGTAATAATTAGCAACTCATCAGACACTGCCAAATGTCAAGTAGAAAGAAAAACTGCCAAGTCCTATGTTGAACAAACAGATGGGATTTGCTTTCATGAAAATATGCTTAATCAAGTGGCAGCATTGCTTATTAGTCTGAAAAAACAGTACAAATAAGAGTTAGGGAAGCCTCTCAATGTGAAATAATTGCCCCTTATCATGGCTTTCATTTGTTTTCTGGGAGGGGCAGGCATTAGCCAGGTTCTTTAGCAGTCACCTGGGAAAGAACACTAAGGAATACTTCCTTAGGTGAACAGCGTAGCTTCCAGGCCTACGTCTCCCGTTTGTGTTTCTGGATAGAATTCAACACTGACTTTATAATATCCCTCTGTGCCCACTTCCACCAGCGGAACTAATTCTGTATTGTGTATTCTCCTTAGCTCGGTACATTGACCAGTATGGGATTCATTTAGAGAATCAGCAGATGAGAAACATGGAGATACAGAAATAGAGCACCAAGAAATGGTTACATTCTACAGGAGAACTGATTAGTATGTGATTTCCAGTATATCTAGGAACCTGCAGTGAATACCCAACTTCCTAGTCATCATCTGTAGGATGATGTTCCCTGATGGAAGTTAGTTAATGAAGAATCATGGACTTGTTCATCATGACTGACATTTCACTAGGCGGTGTCTGCTTTAGATGAGTAAGATGGCTTGGATTAATACGTTAGAAGGTGGAATAAGCTAGTATGATCATGTAGGCAACCACCATCGACTTAAGTAGTGTTTTCTGCGAACGCTTTGATAGCTGAACTAAAGACATGTATTCACCTCCACCCACTAAGAGGATAACTGGGGAGAAAAAGGAGAATAAAGCAAAGCAGTGAACAATCAGAAAAATGGAAGGAGTCTCTGCCACACACTAATTCCAAGGCTCACCAGAATCCCACAGGTCAAACAGTTTGACCTCAAAGTTGTTAGGCTACAGAGAGAAGAAAGCCTTCAATGTCCTTTTACTAATGCCAAAAGCAAAACAAGCAGGAATGAAACAGGGAATGGAATGGAGAAGAGGATGAACTACCTACATCTTTCTGACTCTGGTTCATGTTCTCCGACACCATGTTACAGCCTCTCCCAAAACAAATGGCACAAGGACCATGCTGCCCCAGTTGCATTAAATTGACAAGAACCACAGTGTCCCAGCTAGATTAGCATTGGCCTCCTTAGCTTTGCATTCTCCATTTGATGTGAACAACTCCACAGTGTTCACTGTGTGGGACCAGTTGTGCATTAGACCAGGTGAGTGAGATCCAGATGTAGCTTTCCTCACAACATCTGCTTTTACCAGATAGTTTCAACAGTTGGGTTGTTTTGTATGAAGTAGCCATCTCTACGCATACACAAGCACATGAGAACACATCCTTATCAACGCTTGTCATTTATTTCAATTTGCTGAAACATTGTTAGTGAGTGGAAGGTGATATCTCATTGTGTTTTTAATGTACATTTCTTCATAATGATCTTAAGCTTGTCTTCATGTTCTTTCCTTTATTTTCACCTCTCTTTCTTTCACACGAATAATTAGGCTTGTAGAAACAACTCAGTTGTTTACATAAATGCTTCCCAAAGTACTGGCCTAGCACTAAGCCCATTGTAGATAGTAAATAAATGTCTGCTGAATTCAGGGATACAGGGATGATTGGATGAATGCACAAACTATCCAAGTTCGTTTTCTTTCCTAAATTTCTCCCCAAATTCTCTTTTTAAACATGCCTCATGATCAGGACCAATGTGAAGGCTCAATTGGCTAATTCTCCCCTTGTAAATGCTGGGATTCCCTTATGGATGCTGGTTCATGTCCTGGCTGCTCCTCTTCCTGCTCCTTGCTTGTCACCTGGAAAATAGTAGAGACCCTTGGGACCCTGCACCCATGTGGGACACCAGAAGGAAGCTGCTAGCTCCTGGCTTTGGATCAACTCAGCTCTGGGTGTGTGGCCATTTGAAGAGTGACCCAGTGAAAGAAAGACCTTTCTCTCATCTTTCCTTCTGCCTGTAAATCTGCCTTTCCAATAAAAATGAAATAAATTAAAAAAAATACCTAATGAACATTTTGAAACCCTAGAAGTGAATTCAACAGATGACTCATGGTTTGCATGATCCGAAAGTAAACTAAGAAAACTCTGATGCTTTAAAAAGATAATCTTGTACATTACTAGTCTCACTTTGATGTCATTTATCTGCCTCCTGAGAAGGAACATTTTTCTAAATTAAAGTGTGAGTAAAGTGATTTCTAAGAAATTATGAAAAAGACTCATTTTTCTCTTTTCAGCATGGGTTCTTTCTCTGAAAAGTAAGCCTTCAGTGACCTAGTTTAATAATAATAATAATAATAGGACCTATGAAGATGTCATGGCAAAATATGCAGTAAGCATGTGCCATTCCAACCTAATTAATCTTTGCTAAAATCAAAGGAAACTCACTGAGTCAAAGAATTTCATGAAGGTGCTAAGATCAGGAGAAACAATAATTTTTGCTTTCTCAGTCTCTCCCTGGTTCCCATCCCAACCACTCATGCCTTGTTTTTGTTGATTTCTTGGTCTCCTCTGTGTATCTATGGTAAAAACCCTGATCTGTGCAAGTTGCATTTGGCCTGATCAATCCAAGACTGCTCTGGGGCATCACTTCTACACTTGATCTTAGGCAAAAGGCCGAGAAGTGATTGGCGGCATCATTTCTGCATGAGAGGGAAGCTGCCAAGACAGAAGTAGAGTAACTGCATTTGTCCTGCATGAATAGAACCTCGATTACTTCAGACTACCCAGCATTATTAGATAGTGTATCATTAATACCACATCTACCAGATTTTATTCCACTGATGGTCTTACTCTATTTAAATGCTCTACTTTTAGGAGAAAATAAATCAGCCTCTCTTACACTGGAAGGGTCACCTCTGCTGATAGGTTCTAGTGTGGCCTTGAGGAAGGCCAGGCCTCAGAAGACTTCTTTCTTTACTACAGAAGTCCCTAAGAATCACCCAGGAACTGTACAGCTGACCAATTTTCTCAACCTTATATCCTGCAGGATAATTCTAAAATGGATCTAATCTTTTCCAAAGACAAGCTCCGGAATCATAAGCCTTGCACAAGTCTCTACTCTTGTCCACTGGACCAGATTCAGGCTCTCACCGCCTTTCTGGCCTTCCTACCCATACAGCAATGCTGCATGCTGGGCCCGAGGTGAACTGCACAACTGGAACATACTTACTGTTTGCTTTCATGCAGGCTTTCTGCCATCACCTCCTAGTGGAAAACCAATTTAGTCCTGGCCAGGTGCGTTAACTATGATCTGCTATCATTTGATGTGCTGTCATTTTTTTTTTCACATTCCCCCTTTTGTCTCCATCACAGGGTACATCCCCAGTTATTTGGACAAGGATGAGCTCTGTGTGGTGTGTGGTGACAAAGCGACTGGTTATCACTACCGCTGCATCACATGTGAAGGCTGCAAGGTAACTGACCTGGGTCTGCTTGGAACCCCTCCCATTGCCCCACAGGACAGTGTATTTAAGTTCAAGCTCGACTTTCAACCGGAGTCCAACACTCATGGCCTGGAATCGTGTAGGTGTCTAGTTGTGCTCTTCATGTTTATTGTCTTTTATTGTGTTTGAGAGGCTGAGAGACAGATAGGGTGCTGCCATCTGCTGGTTCACTTTTCCAAACACCCCCTACAGCCAGTATTGGGCCTAGCCAGAGCCAGGAGCCAGGAACTAGAGGCCTCCCATGGGATTGCTAGAAACCCAGTTACTTACAATTGCCCAATTACTGCAGAATCTGCATTAGCGAAAAGCTTGGACTAGGAGCCGGAACCTGGATGTGCCAATGTGGGACGCAGGTGTGGGAACCATGAAGGCGCATAACCCATCCAGTGTTCCTGATGTCACAGCTAAATTTCTCCTAAAATTATAAATAGCCAAACAACGTGTTGTGAGAGTGTGCTAGCTAGTTTCTTCACATGCCAGGTTTAAAAAAAAAAAAAACAGAAGAAGAATTACTAACGTGAAAACAAATTATGAAAACTCTTACTTTGGGTTTAGTTGTCATGTCAAACTCAGAACCGTCTCTCCTGCTGCTGGAACTCCAGCCAGTGTGTGAGGAGACGGGTCCCTCCACAGCTGCTCTCTGCTGCTAATCCGAGTGGATTTGCTCACTTGAAGAGTTTCCTTAGGAAGCATCTTTGAGGCTTCTTGGATTGGCATATGCTCTGACTTTTATCCAGGTTGGCTCTCTGCACATCCTGCAGTGAGTAGATTCTGGTCTTCCAGTAGCTAACACAGTGCCTGCAGACTCCTCTTCAGATGACACATGATAAGGAAACAGCAGTGAGCAGCAGTTCATTCTCTTCCATGTGGACCTATCTATAATCTTTACCAACCAAATTCTATAAACTTTATGCGAAATATCTTTTGGTGCATCAACTTTGCCTAGAAAATCAAGTCTACCACTAGGGTGAATAAGCTTAACTCAGTGTTCCTATGATGTTTTGTAAGTGAGAACATACTTAAAGCAGGCAAAGACTTCTAAAATATTGTTGTTAAATGTTTAATTGATCTTTCATATTTCAAACTAAATTGTCACGAGGTGTGAATGCTAAAGCAATTGTGCTTATATTTATAAAACAAGTCCATCTTCTCTTCTCCTCTGTCAACAATGTCTCCCTTTTTCCCTCTTTCCTTTCTTGATTGCTCCTCTACCTTCTGCACTTGCCTCTAACCACCAAACTTGATATGTTTCAAACCAAAGTGTCCCTCATTTCCCTCCTGGGAGATTTTCAATGTGGATCTCTGGTTTGTACCGGAAATTAGGAGAAGTTTGCTAAAATAAAAATACTGGGACGATGCAGTGATTGGATATGGTCATTTGTAAGGTTCCAGAGCCTTACACTCGCAGGATGTGGAATGTAATGTGATGTGTTGTGATTTATCCAGACTGAATTGATCTGGATCATGGAGTCTTTTAACAAATCCTGGGCTAACGGTTGCCATTATGTCTATGAAATAATGGATGAAGGCAATTGCAAGTCCTGGCTGTGCTTTAATTAGGATACTTGCAGGCCATCTCTTGAAAGCCTGGTTTGATTGGCTTGATTTGAAAGTAAGAAAAGCACAGAATTCTAGATACATTTCCCTCATTATAAAGGCTCCGTGTTTGGTCTTTTTTCTCCTAAATTATGAGCAATTCATAAAATCTTATTTCTCTGATTATGCAGTGTTGAGATGCTTTTAGATTTGTTTCTGATGAAAAATTTTGGATTGTGAGAGATGCTAATGAAGATTCCATTTAATACTTGACTTCCCAAAGAGTCTGTAAAGACAGAATGTGCCCTGAAGAAGGTTTTGAGCTTTGTTAACAGCTCACTTAAAGAAAGGGAGTCTCAAGCCTGTTACACTCATGGTCCTGCCTTGTTTATGTCTTGGTGATGATGAAGAAACCAGTCTTTTCCCAAGATCACTAGACATCTGGGAGCAGTTTCAGTTGAGATTTTTTAAAAGAAGCAGCTACACAGAAGAAAAAAATTTTTCTCAGCCGCAGTTCCCAGATCTCAGACGAGACCTGTTTTTGATATTTCCTCCATGATAAAATCAGAATACAGCCTTCTAGGGGGTGGCCTTGCAGAGCACTGGAGAGCAGACATTTTGGAAAAACACAAAGAAATTGCCCAAATGAAACCATTAGCAGCAAAAGATGAAGAAAGGTACATTCCACAGCTCGTGTCTTCAAACCTGTAATTTAGACATCTTTCTGTCCCATTCTTGCAGTGTGTTTGGGAAGAATCTTGTAGCCCTCTCAGCAGTGAAAGACTTTGGAGATGTCTTCTCCATTGTGCTGTACCAGCTTTGGTGTGTCGTTTAGAGGGAGTGTTGCTGCTGCCCCACCACATTCTCCAAGGAAGACCAAAAGCTTTCTGATGATGACTCAGATGCTAAACTAGGAAGTGACGCTTGACTCCTTGTCCCACTAGGTAGTGCTTTACCTTGAACCACTAAGACATGGCTCCAGTCCTCTCAGAAAGCTGAGAAATGTGTGTGATGTTGATTTACAGAAACCAGAGCTCCACTCAGCAGCTCATCAATGGAATATATACCCTTGTATATCCCCTGGTACACGTCTTTTGTGACCTAACCTCTAGAAATGTTTTTAGTAGACTATTTTAATTTTAAGAGGCAGAGAGATAGAGGAGATGGAGAGATGAACCACTTGCTTTTTCGCTCTCCCAGATGCTCACAATGTCCAGGATGAAACAAGGAGCCAGGAACTCACTCCAGGCATCTCATGTGGGTGGCAAGGACACAGTTACTTGAGCCCCTACCTACTACCTCTTAGAGTATGCACTGGCTAAAAGCTGGAGTCAGGAGCCCACCAAGTATTAAACTCAGGCTCTTCAGTCTAGTTTGTGAGCATCACAACCACAAAGCTAGACACACACCCCTGAAGCTATGTCAAATATCTTCTAAGCAAGTTTACTTCCAGGAATTAATTTTCATCACTTTTCAAAACTAAAGGACTTAGCATCTTTACATTTCTTCAAATTAAGCAGTCCCTCATCTGATGTCACAATAGTCTTTGTTACAACTCGGGAACGGCCAACATCTCAGCAGGAATTGGCCATGTGTTGTCTAAGAAATGTCATGAGACTCCAGAAAGGTGGCACAGTGAGCAGTAGGTGAAGCACCTCATTATTTTTACAAAATAAGACAAGCCGGTACCTCACCAAGGACTATCAGTATGGGCACCAAGGACAATATCCCAACTGCCAAGGAGATCACTGGGAATTGGAGTGCCCTCATAGGCCGAGAACTCTGAGGTCAACCATTCCTTATCGGATCTCCCACATGGGATGGAAGAAGCCCAGATCCTTCCTCATAGGAGCTATGTCATCGGAACAACAGCCAGGAGCCCTGAGTGGTCCTCAGAAACAGAAGAACAATAAGCTTCCTTCGGGGCTCGGGAGAAGAGTTTTCTCTGGTCCTTACTTAGTTCCAACTTTGGCTCCACACCCTCTTTTGCAATGACCATCAGGGTCACTCCGGAGCCCCCCAAAATTAGATCAGATAGAAAGAGACCAATAAGGAAAGCTTAGCATAGACAGGAAAAAGTCAGCTTGGACTACCATATATACCTTACTAGGTAGGATACAAAGATCAGTTACTCCTCACTAAGGTATTGAAGATTTCTCTACACACCCCTCCTAAAAATTGTTCTGCTCCTCAAATCATTAACGTATGGCTTGTTAGAGTTATAAGCCTGTTTGGACTATCCTAAAATTTGTCAAGTTCAGTAAAAATCATGCTTGAATACTATAGGCTGCTAAATATAAAAATGAAAAAAATAAAACAGGCACTAATGATTTCCCTCATGTCATTAAGAAGGTGCCCAGAGGAGCCTTTGCAGAGCAATCAGTGTCTCCTTGTTTTTGGCGTGTCCCTCTCATCCTGTGCTCCTGTTGTTTGCTCAGCATGTTCCCTGTACTCTCCCCACCCATCCCTCTATGCCCTGCCACCAAATCACACAAGTCAGTCTCAGAGTCCAAGTGAGAAAGAGCACACTGCCCTGCCCCTACGACGGCAGCCACCACTATCGCTGAGTACCTGGGCTGTCAGCCTCTCCACCTGTAAGGATTGGTGTCCCCCCCTCAGGAGGAGCCTTGCTGCACACCCCTCTTCCCCCACTGTCTGAGACCTCTGTCCTCTTGCCAGCCAGCTCACAGTTTCTTTTGCTCTCTCTTGCCCTCTTCAGACCAAGGACAGCAGAGGTCAGCAAGAGGGTTCACAGTGGCACTTGTTTCTCCATGGCACACCCCACACTTGGGGAGGCATGCCAGCCCCGCATATGGCTGACCTGGATGCAGTTTTCCTGAGTTTCACAACAGGAAGTACATCCCAGTCCCTCAAAGCAATCAGCTCAAGCAGTCAAGGACATGGAACCCGAGGGACAATGTGACACTTTTCCTGTTAAAACGTGAAAAATGGCAGTGACAAGGGATTTGTGTCCATGCCCCCAAATGAAACCCATGAGTCTATTATTCCCATCTTGTTCTACTTTGCCCAGCATAAAAATCCTGCCTTGGAGCTTTCCATTCTAAGGGAGAGCTTTGTGTGTGAGCAAGGACTAGGCCAATGGGTATATGCACATGGGCAAAGCCAAAGAAAAATGAAACAGGATGATGAAAACGCAGGCTGTGACTCCAGGTGCCATGCACCCTCCGTGTAACAGAGAGGCCCCTTGAAGCCTCCGCACAAGGCATGCTTCCAGACTTGTTTTGCCTCTATTCTGTCAAAACGAATAAAATGGAGGATTGTAAGTTTTTGTGAAAAGAGGGTGGGAAGGAACTTTTTAAGTAATCCCTTCATTTCTAAAATGCAATACACTTTGCTTATTTTAAAGCACACAAGTTGTTGAGCCAGTAAGATTAGGAGTTCAACTTCTGAGCTTCAGACCAAGTTCCAGCATGTACCTATCACATGATTTGTGGCAAGAAATTTAGCCTGTCTGGAGCTATATGTTTTAATCCCTACAGGGAAGACAGTAAGAGGAGCTCCCCGTTACTATTGTGGGGAAGACGGAATCCTATGGAGTGCATCTCCAGCACTTCTCAATGCAATCCTCACAATATGTGCTAATGGCTGCTCAGAGTTCTCACCACAAGATGTGAGGCTCTGGGCCAGAAAGGCTGCAGTGTAGCATGCTCCACACTCATGAGAGCGTGACAGGAGTCACCCAAACTTAGACCTTAACAGTAGCCCTTGATGCTGTTCCAGTGCCACTTTCCGGTCCCTTGAGAAAGGAAGAAACGTACTGAAATTGTAGCTGTGTGTCTACAGATAAGAGGGAGAAAGTAAGTATTATGAAAGGGAAAACTCTATTGCCATGAACTAGAGGGGAAAAAAAAAACTGACAGACAACCTGAAACTTTCCACTCCCTAAGCATTGTTTCAATGGCTAAGTGAGCCCATCATGATGATCTCAAGAGTCAAAAAGAATTAGGGATGGGTATTGTGGCATAGCAAATTAAACCACCACTTGAGATGCCTACACCCCATGTGCCTGGGATTGAGTCCTGCTCTATTTATGATCCAGGCTCCTGCTAATATACCAGTGAGGCAGCAGGTGATAGCCCAAGCACTTAGCCTTCTGCCACACATGTGTAAACAGGTGAGCTCCTGGCTCCTGGCTCCTGGCTCCTGGCTCCTGGCTCCTGGCTTTGCTCCACTCTGGCTATAAAGAGCCTTTGGGAGTGAATCAAATAGAAGATCACTCCTTGTACCTCCCTCCCTCTGTTACTGTGCCTTTTAAATAAATTAAAATGCTAAGTAAACATTTTATTTTGAAAAAAAAAATACTTAAACTAAATCTCTAAACGTTGTGATCGGAGTTCTGAATGGAGTTTTTGGCTCTTGCCATTGAACTGGCCCAGTCCTGGCTGCCACTTGGGCAGTGAGTCAGTGGACGGAAGATCTCTCCCATATCCTCTGTCTTTTTTTCCCTCTTTCAAATAAATTACTCTCCAAAACGTAACAATAATAAAAGTCATTATTGCCTCTATTTAATTACTAAATGATGGAAATATTAAGCATCACACGTATTTACTTCTTTTATTGTCTAATTTAAAGAAGCAAATCTCCTAGCTTAATTGAGGTGATACCAAAGAGATGAAAGTCACTTATTTAAATTAGTATCTAGAGAAAAATAAAAGCAAACACTAGACTCTCCCGTTGACTTCTTTGCCTTGAACAAATGCCTAAACCCAGATTTAGAATTATTTAGATATCTCTGGGGCCCATAGTTCTATCTTTGAGTCTGTAGAGCTAGCACCCCCAAAAAGCTTACGATCCAAAACGATTTATGTCAGCTATGAGGACACTAAATGCCAAAAATCAGTTCTTTTTAGAAAATGTGAAACTGTTGTCTTGGGTCTTTCTTTTTTTGTGTAGGGTTTCTTTAGAAGAACCATTCAGAAAAATCTCCATCCATCCTACTCCTGTAAATATGAAGGAAAATGTGTCATAGACAAAGTCACGCGGAATCAGTGCCAGGAGTGTCGCTTTAAGAAGTGCATATATGTTGGCATGGCAACAGATTGTAAGTAGATCTTCATTTGCTTTCCTGCTCCAGGAGTGTTGGCTGGGGAAGGGTTTGCTTCCAGAAAATCAACCAGGGAGAAAGGGAAGAGCGGGGAATGGCTTGCTTTCCTGCACACCCCTCAACCCTCACTTCCAGGCGGTAGCTACCCTTTTCTGGACAACTCCTCAGTCTCAGAGTAGCCAGATGGCGGCATCGGGTTGTGTTTCAATGGCCCTGTTGTGTTTACAGACCTGTTCCTGGTGTCGCAGATGAGAAAATCACATAGTAAATGTTTCAAGAACTACTCCCCAGAATTTTGCAAAAGAAGAGGCATTTACAGACTTTTAGGGAGAAGGAGGCACTGACTGACAACAGGGCTCAGAAATTCGCAAAGAATCCGAAATGGAATGCTGTGGCAGGAGTCAGCCCCCATTCTGCTCTTCGTTACGTTGTCAGCCATAGGGACAATTGCAGCTACAGGGGTCCCACGTCATTTTCAGAGTGCCACGGCATATGGTGGTGGGATTAGCCCTTGGGATCCCTTCTCCCCACCCCGTGTGAGGGATTGACCCCCATCACTTTAATTAATCATAAAAATAAGAATTGTCCTACTCAGCATCACCAGCCTCTCTTTGGTGGGCATTAGTGTTAATGATGTCTGCTGATGTTTTTAACCTCACAGTGAAGGATTTTAACCATTAGGTATACAGGAAAAAGAAAAGGACAAACAAAAGAAAAAGAAAGGAAAACCCAAAAACGTGCAAATAGGGTTTTTCCTGATGAAAGAAGACATCACCCTGGTTTACATTTTATGTGATAAATCTTAGTCTCAGGGAAGAAAAATAAACAAAATGTGCTGGCCCGTAAAAGACTAAATTTAAAATCTTGAAAAACAAGATGCTCTTGGGAGAGTTGCCAACAATATACCCGGTGAGGACACGCAGAGAGGATTGAGGGCCACGTGCTTGGGCTGTCACTAAGAATCCGGTTACCATGAAACAGCCATTCCGTGGTTCTAGTGAGAGGCTTCGCATGTGAGTGTTTAAGAGGTTGAAACTCAGTATTCATCCACACTGTGGAAGCAGAGGTGGAGGGCCCTTTATTTGCTTGGGAGGCATTCTGAGAGCTCAGCGTTTATCAGAAAAGCTTTTGTTTGAGTCCCCCGTGTGCCACTCGCTAGCCTTGTGGCCTGCAGGATGAAATCTCAAGTTCACTTTCTGGGAAATCATCACCCACCTCTGAGGGTGACTGCGGGGTTAAGTTAGCTAGTACACGTCAAATGCTGCAACCCCTGGCACTTGGAAACAGGGCACTGGGGGGAGGTTCCCACTCCCTCCTTACCCTTTAGTCGAGGACCCAAAGGACATCGTGTGGCTCATGCACGTCTTCCACATTTACGAACACACACATCACTTTGACCGTTCAATCACATCTGCGTGTTGTGGGGTTTCATAGTGATTCTATTTGCGGACCAGCTGGATTCCTTGGTTCTCTTTACCTGCTATATCTGCTTTTTTTCTTTTTCTACCAGGTTGTCAAGATATGGCCCTAGGACAAATGATGTTGTAGAACTGGAGTCAGGAGTCCTGGGTCTTGCCTTGGCTCTGCCAGGAGCTTGATGTGTGACTTTAGGCAAGTCACTGCCTCTCTGGATCACTTTCCTCCTCTGAGAAGGAAGGAAGTTGCACCAGATTGTACCTAAGGTCCCTTCCAGTTCCTAAAGGCCATGATTCTGCGATGGAAAGCTGAGCCTTCCCGTTTCATCCGGTGTCGCTAGGAGTCTAGTGCAACTCACAAATTCTCTACAGAAGCAAGACTACTGTCCCTAAGTCCCTTTTGCACAGATGATAAAGCTTGTGGCTATAATTCCTAAGCACCTAGAGTACCTTATTGCACTGACTACCCTATGACATCATAAGGACAATGGCCTCATTTCGTGTAGGAAGAAAGGAAAGCTCAGAGAGCCTAAGTCACTTGCCAGAGGTCACACAGCTAGAATGCAGTAGTGTCGAGATTCAAATCCAAACCCTGAACTTATTCTCTGGGGAGGATTCATGAACTTCCCATTTACCACTCTAGATTTTTCCCAAAGTTGGAGGAGGAGTGGGAACAGAAACCCTGAGAGCAAATCCAGTAAAATCCTAGGCAGGAGTATCCGGGATTCTAAAGGGGACAGGAGCTTTCAATCCCCTCTGTTCTTCTCTTCATTAGGGTCACATTCCATGCAGTTGAGATGCCCAGTGTCTGAGTCCCTTGGGACTTTTTCTGGAAAACTGGCTGAGCCATGGGGGGGTTGGCATTGGGGCTCATGTTGGTCAATAGCTAATCAATACTAGTTTGCTACTAAGGTGGGGGGGAATGCACCCCCTGGGACCCACCCTGCAAGCCCCACGCAACTATCTGAGCATGGATGGCCCCTCCCTCAGTCTCCAGGACATACAGTCACCCCTGGGTCTCACCTTGTCCTCCCTGCCCAGTGGTACTTGATGACAGCAAGAGGCTGGCCAAGAGGAAGCTGATAGAAGAGAATCGGGAGAAGAGGCGGCGGGAGGAGCTGCAGAAGTCCATTGGGCACAAGCCGGAGCCCACCGATGAGGAATGGGACCTCATCAAGACAGTCACCGAAGCCCACGTGGCCACCAATGCCCAAGGCAGCCACTGGAAGCAGAAACGGAAATTTCTGGTAAGCCCTGTGTCAGCTGTAGATGCTTTCTTCCTGACCCGTTGGTACTGGATGACAGTAAGGGCTAGTCAACCAGTACACATTTTGTTCCCTAAGTGGATTTCAGAATATCCTGCTGAAAACAACCTCCAGGATACGGTGTCCCATGCATGCTAAAATGTATTTTTCTATCAATAGTAAGTCAAAAATGTCTAGCTTAAATGAGTATAAGTCTAGAAAGGTAGTGGGGATTAGAAGAATGGGCAGAGGACAGTACATGGAAAGAACATGACCTTTCTGATGCTTGGAATATCAATATTTAATAAAAGCTAGCAGCCGTGAAAGCCCCTCCTGTGGCTCACTTGGGCTTCCTAGTGTTTCACGTGAGGGTGGATTTATTAGCCCCATTTCTAAAGATACACAAAACAAAGTCATGTTGCTAAAAAATGGAAACCAACGGCCAACTTGGGTCTTCTGGCTCCAAGGTCAGGCTTTAGCCACCCTCCTCATTAGAACATTGTCAGAACCTGATCTGCTCTTGGCTTATGATGTGAAGTACTTTCCAAGTACCCCACTGGCCCTGAGCATCGTATGGTCTGGATTTGTCCATGTCCCCAGGACATGTTAGAGTACCTCCCCATCTGAACAAGAAGGTTCTTTGTGCTGCAGTATCAACATCAGAAAGAGGTCTTTTTGTGTTGCTGTTAAAGTGATATAGCAACAACCTTAAAGAAAAGTTTTTTGAAAGAAGGAACTTACCTGCAGTCCTCCTGTTCTGAAACAGTTACCCTCATTGGCTTAATGAAATAAAAATGTCAGCACTGTGTTGATGGCTTCTGCCCAGATCAAACGCTCAGATGGCAGTGCATGCCTAGTACCCTTCTGTGTGCTTGGTACACACTAGCCCCCTGACCAACCCTACAGACAGATGGGTTAATGGCTCCGTTTTACAGAAGGGAGAACTGAGGCAAGGAAGTTAAGGAGACTTGGCTGAGTTCCCGGAAACAGGAAGTGGTAGCAGTAGGTGCATCCAGCATTCATCTCTGTTTTCCTACCCGTCACCAGAGGCAATTTTGCCAGCTTCTAGGTGAATGAGAGTGAGGAGAGACAACATTTCTGTTGGGGCTATCAGAAAAGACATCTCTAAGGAATAAGACTTGGAAGCAGAGAAACCAATGCTATGAGGCAAATGTAATAGAATCTCCTCTTAACTGCAATCTCTTCAGCCAAAATAGCACCATGCCTAGGAATTAGAAGGAGCCTGAAGCTATACACGTCTGGTTTGTATTGATCTGATCACCTGGAGAAACAACTCAAGATGGAATGGTGCCAAATGGTTGACCATTCCTTTTTCTGTGACAGTATCCCTGCATGAGAGCTTTGTCTTGAGGCAGCTGACAGATCCAGAGCAGTTGTTTGACCTGCAAATTCACCCTCCCTCTATAGAGCTGACATGATTGTTGGGATGTAAATAACACTCCTCTTGGTCCAGATATAGTTAACTCCTTCTCTAAGTCATTGTAGAGGCGTATTGGGGAAATCAAAGTATTCCATTACCCCATCTGCAGCTACAGTGAGCTTTATTTCTCATTGCACAACTTTCTGGGCTAGGGTCAGCCTTGCATCTCCTTGAGGGAAAGGACCCTATTGCACTGACCATTGGCACTTGAAGGTCTGCCCTATGTGTGACTGAGGCTGGCTGTGGCTTCTGTCTGAGATGGCTGCTGTCATGGTCTCATCCCTCTGGACTCATTCTCTCCATGGAGAGGTAGAATCGATTCCTCATTCCCCATGGGTTTGGACTGGCCTGGGATTTGGGCAGAAGGGATACTTCTTGAGTGAAATCCAAGGCTGTGTCTTTAGAAGACTAGCAGTTTCCACATGGGTATCATTGGAGAGGCAAGCCACCTGGCCTACCTAGTGCAAATCAACTGCTGTATAAAAAAAAAAATCAAACTTCTCTGAGACCATCGGGCTGTGTGGAAACCTAAGCAGGCCAATGCAGACCAAGAGAGAGCCCAGCCTGCCCAAGCCCTGGAAATGCAAATAAGGAAACCTTCCTACAACAGGGAGCCTCTGTGACCATGGGACAGCCCCTGTGGGAGGAATCCCAAGTAGGAACTCCCCAGCTGTTCTTCAGTCCCCAGACCTCTGAGGAAACAAAAGTCGTTACTTTAAGCAACGAAGTTTAAGAGAAGTTTATTATAAAGCAACAGGTGAGCAGAACAGGACTCAGCACTTGTTGAAGTGAACATCCCGTCCCACACGCCCCATCCTTGGGGATAGTACAGTTAAGCCCTGTGTGTCTGTCAGTTTCCATATTTACACATCTGCTTGCAGAGGGGACTCCCATTGAGTGTTTGTGTTCAGGATGAAAATGTGACTCTCCTGAGCAGTGAAATTATTCCTGCAAGAACATAAAGAACACTCGCTTGAAGACGGACTTTGTAGTTTGTGTTCGTATGCTGGAAGGCAGCCCTGGCTGAACAACTTGTTCCATGCCAGGATTTGAATCTCCTGTGTGTGACTGATACTCTTTCATTGTGTTCACAACATTGTTGTGGATCTTATTTTCACTTATTTTTATGTGTTGATGGTCTGCTTTTTTCTGACAATTGTTAATAATGATATTATTAATAATGACTGAATTTTAATGTAGTAATATGGTATTAGAATTAAAGGAACATGGAATTAAAAATTAAAGGGTAAGCATTTAGCCTAGCAGGAAAGATGCAAGTGTTTGTAGCCAAGCCCTTGTTGGGATATTAGGTGGATATCACTGGGTAATAGCTTCTCTTTCTCTCTAACACTTTCTAGATATCTCTCTCTGTCTCTCTGTCTCTGTCTCTTTCTCTCTCTGCCTCTCAATTTAAAAAGAAAAACAGAGAAAGTTTGTAATGGTATCTGCTCATGAAAAATATTTATCAGGAAGAAGTAAGTGACTCATTCCCCAAAAGGGACTACAACTTCATCTTCTTTCACCCTAACACCAGGACTCAAGTGAGAAATAGATTTGACCTGGATTTCAAATCTGTTTAGGGTTGAGAAAATTAGAGTCGGTGTAAAATGAGGTACTTCTGCAAAAGCTGTGCAAATTTTCATATATATCCAAAGCCTTTCTAAAAGCATTGCAATCATGTCATTTTCTGTTTTTTCTCTAATCCACTCAAATCTCTGCGGGTTCAGAAGTGCCCAGTTTTACTAGCAACCGTGACAGTGGTGGTAAAGAGAGTAAGTAGCACTTGTTGCCAAGCAAAATTTCCTCCACCAAGATAATGTTTCCTTATTGCCAAGGGCAGTGGGGGATTGCTTTGGCATAAACCCCAGACCAGCAGCTGTCTTGTCTGTTGGCATTCTATCATTACTGTTCTCCTTCAGTTCCCTGCAAAGGTGTGGCTCTGGATGTTCTTTCTACCCAAGCGTAAACAACGACTTTGCTTTTCTCATGGCAGAGCCACTCTGATTTCATGCAGTCACAGCTGAGATTAGCTCAAAGGAGAGGCATATGCAGAAGCACTAGGCAGAATGGGTCAAGCTGACCATGTGTGGTCTACAGGAGGATGGATGCCATCGAGTCAGGAATACATCGGACACTCCAATGGCATCAGAAGGATACAGAGTGGAACAGTTACAGGATGGGAGTTGGAAGTAGATTGTGCATCCCTTCTCGGCCTTTTGGCTAAGATCAAGTGGAAGTAGATTGTGCATTCAAAGCTTGTCTCTGTTGCATTTTGATTATGGGACCTTGGCGAAGATTCAGTTCCATGTGCTTACCAGATGACATAAAAGCAACAGAAGTCAGAAATCTAATGTTTTGGGCACATTAACATAAGTGTATGCATCATTTCTACCACCAACACCTCTGCCATCTTAATCCCTTCTCCTCTCAGGGAAAGGGTGAACCTATAGCCATGTTCCAAGGCCTTGGGATCTTAAATCACCATCAGCCCAGGGCCTCCTTCCTGGCCTTGCAGGCCTTGCCTGTGAGCAAGCAGAAAGAGGAGTGCTTCTTTGGACCCCAACCCCAATATCATTCTATATGTGCTCAAGCGCTGCATTCAGAGTCCCTGGCTGTGAGCCAGGCTCCAAAGAGAAGTTAACTGGCAACATTTTCTACTCATATTGGACAATAGCGATGAAGCAGTCAACACTGAAAATCACTTAACTGAGACTTGTGAAACCCCAGCCACCTCGAGCGCTGAACAGGGGCTGGTACCCAAACCTGCACACACCCGAGTGTCTCTATTTGTATTCTCCATCTTCTCTACTCCAAAAGAGTCACTGTGAATTTCCTTATCCGACATCCAGCCCTTCTCCTGCCTCTAAAATAAGATTTGAAGTCTTCCTCTTGGCTCCATCTCAACTGCACACCTGCAATCCAGCCTACTTCAGCCAGCCTCCACTGTTGCCTGTGCCTTCCCCTCACCCACATTCCCTGTTCCCAAAATAACCGTAAATCTCCACATCCGCTCTCCTCCACATGCCATTAAGAGGGTGTCACATTGCACTTAGAAGTCCACCTCTTCCTCATGGTCCACAAGCCCAACATGAAAGAACCGTATTCTAACCACATGGACCTCCTTTCTATCCTCAAGGCATTTCACTGTCTTTTCCCTTTGCCTTGAGAATTCTTGCTCCAATTCTATGGAGGATTGCCTCCTTGGCATGCTATCCACCCCAGCTCCTGACCCCTGTGCCCTATCCTGTCACCTCTAGTCTTATCACAATCCTGTGAAGGTGTGAGTTGTATGTCCTTCCTCACTACAATGTAAGTTCCTTGAGGTTGCTTTGTCCATTGCTGTAACCTCAGTTTCTAGAGAGTAGGCTTAGCCAACAGTAATTGCTCTATGAATATCAGTGGAATAAAAGTCTGAACACATGTAGTCATTCACTGAACCCAGTAGCATTCTGTCTTCCATCATTTGGCCATTTACCCAGTCGATGAAGGCGTATGAGGCCTGTTCCTCCACCCATTGGAGAAGTTCACCTCTTTGATGTATATCTATTTAAGTTCAATGAACTTATAGTTAGACATGCCTGAAGGCCATATGTTTGACCTTGTGTGTTCAAGGGAGGTCAACCTCATTTCAAACTGAGCTCATCTGCAAAGATCTCTAGGGCAAGACAGAGTTAGAGTTAAATCTTGTGGAATGGGTGGGATTTGGAATGGGCAGAGATGAGGGACAGAAGGGGATTGCTTCAGGAAAGTGAAAGTCCATGGAGAAGGTCACTCTGAAATTGAAAAGTACAAGGAAAGTTGTGGGGGAGACAACGTAAGTTGAGAAGAGGTCAGTAGGAGTGGCTTAGCAGGTCCACGTAGGACAAAAGCGTTAGGAATTCAGAGTGCTGAAGTACACTCATGAACAAACGAAGACTATTGGAGCCACCAATACCAGTATAGATTCTCCCTAGTGGGCCTGTGCTGGTGAGTCCACATGCCAGAGCTGTTTCTTCAGTTTCTGAGCTTTGTCTCAGGTGTATCAATACATGTGTGTGGATCTGAGCAAATGTATTTCATGTAGTGATTTACAAAGCTGCTAGCTGGTGATTGTGTGTGTGTGTGTCTGTGTGTTACTTCTGTGTGTTGTCTGTGTGTGTGTTACTTCCTAGTATCCAAGATCCATTATGAATATAAACCTTAATAATATGCTAGAAGGTTTCTATTTTGTGTGGAATTTGTTTTTACTTTGTATATAGTTACACTTCTAGCAGTTGTACTTATCATTAAATACCAAAAGGCTTAAAAATAAGCAAGGCTTAAAAACAAGCAAGACTTAAAAATAAGCTTATTGCAGGACTAGCACCATGGCAAAGCATATTAGGGCCCTGCCTAATGCACTGGCATCTCCTGAGCACCAATTCTAGTCTAGGTGGTTCCACTTTTGATCCAGCTTCCTACTTGTGAGAGGGCAGCAGAGGAAGGCCAAGGTTCTTGGGCCCCTACACTCACCCTTGTGGGAGACCCAGAAGAAGTGCCTCACTTTCAGTTTTAGAGCCACCCAGCTCTGGCCATTATAGCCATTAAGTGAGCCAATGGACAGAGGATAGCTCACTCTCGCTCTCTTCCCCTGCCTCCCCCTTCTCGCTCTGCCTTTCAAATAAAATAAATAAATCTCTTTTAAAATATGTTAAATTTGTTGTACCCTGTTTTACAAGGGTAATACAAAATATTGGCAGGAAATGAAATTGAAAATACTGCATAAAATTTTGAAATCTTTGCACGCAAGCAATCTTCAAAAGAGTTCCTAAAAAACATATTATAAGGAAAAAAAAACTATGCATGGATTATAAAAGCTTCTGATCTTATCATTCCATCTCACAAACTTTTTTCAAAAGATGAGTTGGTGAGGTTACATTTTGGTGAGTTAATTTTAATTGAAATTGGCATAAGTCCTTGTAACATTTCTCTCCTTTTTTTTTTCAAATCTTTAGAGGAGGGAGCAAGTGAAATTCAAACACTCTGGGCACATATAGACGGACTGGAAATTAGTAACATCAGTATTAGCCAATCATATCAAAGGACGTTGGGTGGCATTTGAATAGAATCAGATTAGCTACCAACCTGAACCATGTCATTCTGGCTCACCAATAGACCACAAATGAGTGGAGGTTCTTATGATGACAGTGACTTTAAAAAGACAGTGGAGAGGATGGTGCATGACAGGAGATGCTTGGTAACAAAGGTATGTGCTGAGGAAGCTCACATCCTGGAGGTCACTAAATGCAAAGCTTTGGAGTTTGATGGCTCCAGTGAACATGGGGAAGCTTACCATGTGCACAGATACCCTGGGGTTCTGGCATGCTGCTTCTGCACTGACAGACCTGGGAATGGCCAGCGAGTGTTCCAGTTGATACCCATTCTGCAACCCCAACCTTAGAGTAGCAAAGACCATGCATTCTTCTTGAGCAAAGGAGAGGCAGAGAGGTGTCCTGAGGGCATTAGGTACAAGCCTCGATGGAGGCCTTCCCAGAATGCACAACTCAATATCCAAATGATCTTTTCCCTGCACCTTCAGCTGAGACCATCCCAAACTGGAGTCCATAGAGGAAAGAGGAGCTCTGAACCCCAGCATCTACCTCCAAAGCAAGAAGGAATCCACTGGCCATTGTTTGCTAAGGCTCACCCATTGCTCTTCCCCAGCACTCCCCACACCACCCCTAGACACATCGGAGTGCATAATGCTCTGCCATTGCTATCCCAGAGTCCCTGGAATTTATGTCTTAAATATACAGCCTGGGTTCCTATAGAGCCAGAACTCAGATTCCTGTCCCCCTGTCTCTCCTTCCCTTCTGTCAAGTCTCTCTCTCACGATTTCCCTCGCCCTTGCCCTCATCCTCTCCCCCTGCTTCTCACATTGCTTTCACCATTCCCACAACAATTTTGTTAACATCTTTTAGGAGCCTATTGAAACAGTGGCCAAGATACACATCTTTGCCTAAAGAAATAAGGACATGAAAAGTGTGTGGCTTGTTAATGAATGTTTTTAAAATGGGGATGTCCATCCAGAGGAGGTTTTCTGCCACGTGAGGCCCATGATTCATCAAGCACTGATCAGCTTCTTCACTCAAAAGCCTCCTTGTTTCTTCCCCTCAGCCAGAAGATATTGGACAAGCACCAATAGTAAACGCCCCGGAAGGTGGAAAGGTCGACTTGGAAGCCTTCAGCCATTTTACAAAAATCATCACACCAGCAATCACCAGAGTGGTGGATTTTGCCAAAAAGTTGCCTATGTTCTGTGAGGTGAGGACAGTTTTTATTTCTGCATTATTTCCCGTTATGGTTCACCCATTTCCAAGAATGCTGGGGATAATTTATGCTGTATTCATTTGTAGCAACTTACTTAGTCACAGGAAAGCAATGGCTATACAAAATGCAAGTGCATTCCCTTTCCGCTGTCCTCCCCTGCCTTCTCTTTCCAATCATCACACATTAGCTTATCCACACAAGGCCCATAGAGAAGTTAGCAAAGCAGTGTCTTCCTTTTGTGCAACTCCTAGGAGAGCCATTACTGTGTTCAAGCTTGCCCACATTGAATCCAGTCTTAGTACAGATCTGCAAGGCAGCTTGTATTAACCCCAGCCAAGAGGTAAAAGAAACTAAGATCAGAGAGCTTCAGTTAATTAATCCTGCGGTGCCAGTGTTTGAACCTGGCTCTGTATTCCTTCAAGATGGCTCTGTGGTGATTTCTTAAACCTCCAGGATGAGTGAAATAACCCTCTGTGAGTGAGATTGCTAATGTGGCTTTTAATCTTGCCTCTGTCTTTGAAAAAAGAAAAGGGGGATTTTTTTAAAGTTTTATTAGAAAGGCAAATCAGATTTACAGAGAGGAGAAACAGAAAGAAAGATCTTCATCCACTGGTTTACTCCCCAAATAACCACAATGGCCAGAGAACTAAGCTGATCCAAAGCCAGGAGCCAGGAGCTTCTTCTGGGTCTACCATGCAGACACAGGATCCCCAAGGCTTTGGACCATCCTCCATTGCTTTCCTTGGCCATAACCAGGGAGTGGATGGGAAGTAGAGCAGTCGGGACACAAGCAGGTGCTCATATGAGATCCTCGTGTTTTACATTGAGCCATTATGCCAGGCTCAAATCTTCCCTCTTTTACTGTCAGCTTGTTCTTCCCTACCCCATCTACAGAGCACTACAAAAACTTACCCTTTAGACCTCAAAGGTGTCCCTTGGGATACTTCACCCATATCTTTAGCAGCCATGCTATGCATTGGCTGAGAGCAGGGGCTCTACAGTCAGCTGTGTGGGCAAGAATCCTAAACAAGTCATTTAGCATCATCAGTGTTCAGTTATCTTTAAAAGGGGAACCATAATATTGGCTGCCCCTTGATGCTGTTGGGACGTTTAAGTGGGATAACACAGGTCAAGTGATTGTTTAGTGCTTGTATTTGTTGTAAGCATTCCGTAAATTCTAGCTACTAGTGATGCTGTTATTTAATCTATTACATTTCCAGCCTACCTCTGACTTTGCTTTGGTGAATCAAATGGGGTTGATTATGGTTTCTGGAGAATTTTTCCCTTTGAAAAACGCTACTAGATGCCCACCCATGGCTGTTCACAGCCCCAAGGAGACCTGGAAGAACAGGACCACACATTGCTGTGAGCCTCTTAGATGAATCGTCTGAGTGGAAGTGATTCTAGTCTCAGCTAGAAAGGAGCTGGATTGCCTTGCCTGGGATGACTGTACTGCCTTGGTTTCCAGCTTCCTGTGCCTTTGAGTTTGCCATCACAGGAGCCCAGCTGGACTCAGACCCCAGTCATCAATGAGGACAATTCTCATTGCCAATACCCAGCAAAAGTCAGAAGGACACCCAGTGTCACCTCCCTGATCTGAGCAAGAGAGACAGCGTTTGTCTCTCATGTGCCTGTCTTAGCTGTGGTGGGAACTAGGCACCTCAGTCTATTCAGGCTTCTGGAGCAAAAATACCATTGATTGGGTGGCTTCTAAGCCACAAAAATGTCTTCCTCACACTTCTGAAGAGTGAAGACCAAGATCAGGGGTCCAAGATTTGGTGAGAACCTGCTGCCTGAGTCATAGGAAGCTATCTTCTCGCCTTGTCTTCAGAGAGTAAGGGACAAGGGACTCCTCCAGGTCTATTTTGTAAGGGCCTAAATGCCATGAACGAGGACCTTGCTTTCATGCCCCCGTCACTTTCCAAAGGCCCCGTAAAGCTGGATTATAACATTTGAGAGGAACATTGCCATGCAAGGGTACTAGATATGCTGGTACTCACAGCTCTGCCAGGGGAACGATTCACACCCCTTCCCTGCAGGATTCACTGCGTCCTGGAGGAGGAATTTTGGCTTATACCTATGTTGACATGGAACTCCCTGCATCAGACGCCTACTTTTAAAATTAACATTTTAGAGAGTGTTATAGAAAGAGTACCTATCTGCTAAAGAGATACACAGCATAATAAAACTAGAAGTTCAGGGTGATAGCCCCATGAGGTGACATTGCTAACATCTTGGAATTTGTCTCTTTTTTCAAAAATACACACACATACAGATATACATATATATATATATATATATATATATATATATCTACAGTCATGCAAAGATGAAACAGATATAAATACAAGTTATATCACCATGTACTTTTATCTATGAAACTACTTTTTCTTCCAACTTTTTATTAACAAGTCAGGAAGAAATACCAGAAGCATATGGCTCATGAATTTATTCACCTAACCAACAAAGAGATCAACATGCAAAATAAATTTTTTGAAATTTATTTATTTATTTGAGAGGCAGAGAGAAAGAGAGATAATCATCAGCCCACTGAACCATTCACAAATTCCCAAAACAGTTAATGTAGAGCTGGTTTCAATCTGCCCAGATCTGACTGTTGCAGCCATTTGGAAGTGAATCAGAGAATGGAAGATCTCTGTTTATCTCGGTCACTCTTTCAAATAAATGTATAAATATTATATACATATACACTGCATTGAATATTCTAGTGACACTGCCTTTTTCACATGATTATTGCTTAAAAACAAATTCTGGATGTGGGATTTTTTTCCTTTTTAATATATATTTTAAGATGTACACATGAAAAAAGTAACTCACACAGCATGAAAATATCTCATTTAGCAGCATGAAAAGTTGGTTTCTCCCACCAAACCGACCCTCAGCCATTTCCCATCAAGATAACCGCTGATCCTGGTTTCCTGTGGCTCTCCCTGTCCCAGGCAGACAAGGAGTGTGAAGACTAGGCTGCAGATCCCTCTGAGGTTCCAGCAGGTATTGCCCCCGTAGCCCTTGAGGCAGAACTCACGGGCTCTAGGTGATGTTCTTGTCTTCCACCCTGGGCCTTTGCTGGTCCCCGATGACTAGCTGTGTCCATAGCTGTCATCCCTGAGTGTCTATGGAAGCTTGCAAGCATGGGTCATGGCAAACTCTTCAAGTTTCCCTCAGCAACTTCTACCTGCTTCACTGTCACGATCCTCCTTCTCATTCAGCCCTTTTTACCTCTTTTCAAAAGAAAAGGGGAGTATGGGCAAATGGCATTTACATCAGAGATGCATTCATTTCCAGTGATTGTAGCCTCCTGGGGACTTACAGCCTATTAAGCTGTCTGAAACACAGCAGAGGTTAGTGAAGTATGTAGGCCCCTGAGCGACCCCAGGTGCGGACTGGAGACCCCAGGGACCTCTCTCATGCATTTGCTGTTCAAATTGTGTTCCTGGCCATTGCTCCAGTAAGATCCATGCCAACCTACCCAAGGAGGTAAGTGTGACACCAAGGCATCCCAAGACTCCAAGTACTTGCTGGCAGCATTGCCGAAACAGCTCACAGCAACCTCTCCAGATGCACTGTGGTCTTTGCCGATCAGCTTGAGGGTGGCCAGGAAGAAGCTGTGAGAGGATCTCACACCGGCCTATCAAGGTCATGCAGTGAGTGTTTGGCAGGTGCCTAAGAGAGCGTTTTACCCACATGTTGAAACAAAGCTCATCAGGATCCTTCAGATTGCTCCTAGAGGAAATGGCTTCTGGCCCAGTTTTTAAACCATGGGTACTCAGCTTTTATTTAAATTAATCATTAGCAGTTTTAAAAAAGAAAACATCTGTTTTATCCCTAACCAGACTTGGTTTCAAAAGTGGGAACTGACCAGGTGTGCATATCTTGTGACAGATTTTTTTTCATTTCCTAGACTTACTAGAACAGACAGAGCTAGAGAACTCCCACCTACTGGTTCGCTCCCCTTAGTGCCCGTGACACCCTACATTGGACCAGGCTAACACAGGGAGCCAGGAATTGAATGCAGGTCTCCATGTGGGTTGCAGGAATCCAGCTTCTTGACTCAGGGCTGCTTCCCAGGTGAGCTTTAGCAGGAATCTGGGATCAGGATTAGAACCACTCTAAAGTGGATGCAGACATTCCAGGCAGTATCTGAACCACTAGACCCTGTTACCTTGTGACAGATCTTTTTTTCCCCCAATGGTCTGATCTGATAACTTATCTCTAGTTGTAGTTCTATGCCAGGTGCAGACAAATGCAGAGAGAGATGCAGAAACTCAACAGGGAGGCCAGCAATCCGTTTAACAAGCCGTCAGCATTCCCAGTGGGGCTGAGAGGCAGAGCCCCTGCCCTGGGCTGAGAGCCAGCCTCTGCCCTCTCCAGCCAGTTCTTCAGCTGTCCTGCAGACTAGAGACCCTATCTCCACTGGATTTTGCTGTTTCCTGTCATGCTCTTGGGCCAGGCATCCAAGGATGTAATTGATGTGTAGGAATCAGAACCTAAAGCAAATCATCATGATTTTTTTTAAGATTTATTTATTTTTATTGGAAGGGCTAATTTACATAGAGAAGGAGAGAAAGATCTTCCATCTGCTGGTTCACTCCCTAGTGGCTGCAGTGGCAGAAGTTGAGCTGATCTGAAGCCATAAGCCAAGAGCTTCTTCTGGGTCTCCATCCTCCACTGCTTTCCCAGGCCATAAGCAAAGAGCTGGATCAGAAGTGGAGTGGCCAGGACATGAATTGACACTCTACGGGATGCCAACACTGCAAGGTAGAGGATTAGCCAGTTGAACCATGACATCGGCCTTACCATGATTTCTTTTTAAATGGGTTGCATGGGGCCAGTGCAGTGGCCTAGCAGCTAAAGTCCTCACCTTGAATGCACTGGAATCCCATATGGGTGCTGGTTCTAATCCTGGTAGCTCCACTTCCCATCCAGCTCCCTGTTTGTGGCCTGGGAAAGCAGTCTCTCTGTCTCTCCTCCCCTCTGTATATCTGATTTTGCAATAAAAAATCAATAAATCTTAAAAATAAAAAGGGCTGCAAAAGATTATTCATATGCACTGATTCCTAGATTAAATATGAAATGACTCTTATTCTATAGAAAAAGCTAAACAGTTTGAAATTCACTGCTAAGGGGAGTAGGAGGCTGAGCTCATGGAAAATACAAAATAGGGCTTTAAATGTCATTCATTAGCAGGTGGGCATTTGCACAGTGGTTAGGAGGCTACTTGGGATGCCATGTACCAGACTGAACACCTAGGTTTGAGTCCTGGGTCTGATCCTTCTCCTGCTAATGCAGACCCTGGTGCAGGGAGGGGTCAGTCATTATGGCTCACAGAGTTGGGTCCTTTCCACCAAATGGGAGACCTGGATGGAGTTCCCTACCCCTTATTGGCCATTGTAAAAATATACAGAGTGAACCAGCAGATGAGAGCCATCTTACTCTGTCCAGCTACCTTCCAAAGAAAGGGATAAATATAATTTTCATGTACTTCAGTAGTATTATTTTCACTTTTGCATAATAATATCAGTTGAATGTTATCAAAAGCATTTCCCAGAAAGAACCTGTAAGTCCTTTAATAAAAGTCAAGATTTTGTCTAATTTACATGTAAGTTATTTTTAGAAATGGTCATGTGTAAGATACTTCAAGAGAGAATTTCTATTCTTCTCTTTGTGTTAGATTCTAACAGTTCTAGCGTCCACTCCTAGCCTCATCCACAAAGTATTCCCATGACCTTAGGGTGTTATTCACCCTCTCAGTTCTTGGGTTTTCATGTCTGTAAATAACATTGGGGTTAGAACACCCACCTTGCTGCTTTGTGATGATTAAATTAAGGCAATGTATGCAGACCTTGGCAAGACACCAATTCATCGAAAAACAATAAAAAAAAAAATTCACAGACCAATAGCCTTTCAAACAAGGTGGTTAGTGGTGTTTAGTTACTCTTCCCTTCCAGGAAATAAAATTCTGTTTTTATTCTTTTATTTAGCAAAGTTCTTTAAGTGTGTTACTAATGTTATCAGATTATCACAAATCCTAATTAGCAGCATAACCAAATGAGCTGATAATGAGATCTCCACACTGGCACAAAGATGCAGCATGTTGAATAAACTGGTGTCTGAAGTGCTGGAAGGACCTCACTCTGGGAGTCCCAGGCCTGAACTCCAGTCTCAGCTCTGCCTCACCTCAGTGGGAACCCTCCGACAGTTCGTGTCCCCAGGCCTCGCAGGTTGCATGCCTCTCTAAGCACCCTTTTAATCCAGTGCTCTTGAGAGACTCATGGAGCCAATTCACTTCTGAAAGGAAAGAAAAGCCCAGCTGCCAGCTAAATAGCAGTTAGCTATTAGCTCCTGGAGCCGCAAGACCCAAATGACATGGTGAGTTTGACATCAGCAGTTATCTCTTGGAGTCATAACCTCAGTTCCCAGACTAAGAACGGAGTTATCATAGCTTCCCACATACCTGGAATAGAACTTAGAGTGTACACTTGTGACGAAGAAATGTGAACTACTGAGATTAGGATCGGTGAAGATTATAACCCACTAGGATATGAAAATGGTCTAGAGCCAAGTAGGGAAGGAGCAATCGCAGACTCAAAGAACGCAGGCCACTGTGGCTCACAGCAAGCTCCTGCTTTGAAGAGACTGTGTGTTGTGCCTGGCTGGCATGTGTCCCCTTATTCCTTGCTGATGTGAGCTGGTTCTTTACAGCTGCCATGTGAAGACCAGATCATCCTCCTCAAAGGCTGCTGCATGGAGATCATGTCCCTTCGTGCGGCTGTACGCTATGACCCCGAGAGTGAGACTTTGACCTTGAATGGGGAAATGGCAGTGACACGGGGCCAGCTGAAAAACGGGGGTCTTGGCGTGGTGTCGGATGCCATCTTTGACCTGGGCATGTCTCTGTCTTCTTTCAACCTGGATGACACGGAAGTAGCCCTCCTTCAGGCCGTCCTGCTGATGTCCTCAGGTGAGTTACACAGCACTGAAAGAGCCTTGGCTTGACAGATGCTGGTATGTGGTCCTCCTGCTGGCAGCCTTAGTCTGGCTTCAGGAGAGAGACACCTGTGCTGGGAAAGTTCAGCAACAGGAATTGCAGAGACCTCTGGAGTTCCAGGGTGTTCCCACAGCCCTCAGTCCCCCTGCAGAGAAAACAAAACAACACAACACACAAGACAACTAGTGGCTTGTCTAAGGACTCTGGGCTTCATTGACCTTGCAGGAACTGTATTCCTGGAGGACTCAAAGTCGTTTTTTAGCTAGGTTATAATTTTTAATTTTAATGATACAAAGACAAATTTGAATGGCAGTGAGAAACTTGATTTTTTTTTTTTTTGCAATTTTCCTCCTAGCTAAATAAGGCACTGTTTGTGGTTCAGCATGGTTCTAGTCTGTCTTTAACACCTGCTAACCCCCCCTTTGGAACAAAGAGCAATCTGAAATTCAGAATCTTCAGCAACCAGCTTTAGTAAAAATCCAATAAAATTTTCACAGGGATCCGTTTCTGTGGTCCTCGTTGGTTATGGCAAATGGATTTTTCTCACTGAATAAAATGCCATTCCCTCTGTCATGAATCGATTTAACAGATTATTAAATAATCTGTCATGTGGATAAGCGAACAGGTGGAGATGGTGGGATTGTGAATGCAGTGCCAAACACCATCAAACACCTAACTAAAAAAATCTTCCAATTCTAGTTTTTGTAAGACTGTCACTGCCTAAAAGCCAGGTGGCAGGCTTAATAACTTTAAAAGCTTATCCAACCTTAGTAATGTGGACACTTTCCCTTAGTATTGAAAGAAGCAGACACTATAGTTACAAGGCGGAGTTCATTTGGCAAATGATACTTACTGCTCGGCATCCCAAGCCTCTAGTTCCTCTCAGCCTCACCTTCTTTTGTTGACATTTTAATGGCACAGTATCATAATCCTTTCCTACAAAGCCATTTCTAGGTGCTACTGATGGTCTTGATCCTATAGTGGTGAGCAGAGAGCGAAAATAGAGACAATCTGAGAATCATATCTTTGAGAAAGTCTGTCTGAAGGAGCAAATAGCAGTCGTTGGTCTTTAAAATGTGACTTTCTTCATAGACCCACATAGCATGTGCTGAGCATCATCAAAACTTCTGTGTCATTTGTATGACCATCTTGTCTTTATATCTCTCATCAAAGGACAGAGTTTTGATACACAGACCATAGGCCATTTTGTTGCTATTGAAGGAATAAAGCCAAAGCAATGTAGTGTTGACTTTCCATTGGGATGACAAGTGAAAGAATCCTGGAGAGCATTCAGACAACAGAAGGGAGACATGAGAGAAGTTGAGGATATCCAAAGAGCTACAGCCTCAAATTTGAAGAAACTCAAAATGGAATTTCACAAGTTACCATCTGGGCCCAAATATTCACATAGTTTGCTTAGACTGAGGAGGATGTTTGGAAGCATTGGCCCTGGCCCTTCTTTGAGATGACGAAGAACCCTGGTTGGATTTCTTGACACCTGGGCTCTTGAAGAGTACATTCATTTTATGTGAGCTACAAATCAAAGAGAACAGAACCAGGGAGGACATGGCTAACTCCCAGGAGCTACCTGAGGAATGCACTCAGGTTAACAGATCAGATTGTTTTTGGTTATTGTTGTTGTTATTTTTGCCCAAGTACTTGTAGCATGGATAGTCCCCCGTCATTCAGTCTTTTTATGTCATCCCTTTGCTTCTCATTTTTTAAAGGACTTGAGTTGCCTCCTGCATATTATAGAAAGCCTAAGGGATCCTTCCACAATTTACAAGGATTTCTGGGATGTTGCATGATTGTGATCTGTCCACTGCAGCCACTCTCTTCCCTCCACAGGGTGCCTCAAGCACAGCACTCTTCCCTGGTTTTCTTGTTTGTTTGTTTGTTTGTTTGGGGGGTTTCCCCCACCCCACGTCACCACCAGCACAGACTGCTACAGGTAGAACTTTTCTAAAAGGAAAAGGAAAAGGAAGGAGGATTCCCTGCATCCTGATACACAACTGTGCAGTGGTTATGTTCTTCTCAGTCCTCCAGGGAGCTACCTGAAGCCCTTTGGTGCTCCTGTCTTTTTCATATCCCCTTTGTTCTGCATGCTTATCCTTGACCACCCCTATTCCAGGCAGCATCTTCTCTTTATGCAGAGTATTTCTGCATCCAGGCAGGTGGCTGTTATACACTAAAGATGCTTATTTTGACACAGTACTGACCCCCTTCATAGAAAAGATGCCACCCTACGCTTACACCCCAAAGTTTGTACCGCAATTTACATTCATCCCAGATATTGACAAGTCACAGGTCTACCCACCCTCCACGATAGGATGTGAACTGAATTGAGCAAGCCTTCTCCTGCTCACACTGAGTTAATATGCATCTTCTTCTCCCCAGATCGCCCAGGGCTTGCCTGTGTTGAGAGAATAGAAAAATACCAAGACAGCTTCCTGTTGGCCTTTGAACACTATATCAATTACCGAAAGCACCACGTGACACACTTTTGGCCAAAACTCCTAATGAAGGTGACAGACCTGCGGATGATTGGCGCCTGCCATGCCAGCCGCTTCCTGCACATGAAGGTGGAATGCCCCACGGAGCTCTTCCCTCCTTTGTTCTTGGAAGTGTTCGAGGATTAGACAGACTGGATTTATTCTTAAAATTCCCACAGCACTACTGGGTGTCATTCCATTCCATTGCCTAGAAATTTTCTGTTTGTTTCTTCTTGTCTTCATGTTGGGAAGAACTTTGGGGGGATAAAGGGAGCGAGTCCTTGGCATAGACATGGATGAAATTGCCCCTTGAATGCGGGTACGTGTAACTATTGCGTTTTGTTCTTCAGTGCTTTGATGTGAATGCTTTGAAGGTTTTACAGCTGTGGAGGTGGGGTGGGGACCACCATTAATTCACCAGCACCAAGTCATCACCAGCTCCCACCTGTCCCTGGCCAGAGACTCAGGCACGCAAAATGGCGCTGCAAAAGACTACAGAAGCCTTAAGTCCAAGGGAATATGGCCGAGTTGATCCAAGCCTGGCTGTTGCGAGGTTTAAGTTAGCAGAGCACAGACCACTTTTGGTTAGGGCTGGCTTTCAACATTTTAAGGAAAGACTCAAGCCCACTGATTCTCATCTATTCAAGATTATGCTGGCTTCCAGCACTCTTTGGTTCTCTTCCAGCGGCGTCGCTTGGTACGCACACTTGTCCTAAAAACAAATCAGCTGCCTGTTTTGGTCTCATTTTTATAATCTTATGATTTCATTTTATTTGGCTGATTGCGGCCAACAAGGAAGACAGTTTTCTTCAGTTAGCCCAAAGAAATTAGAAATCTTTCACAATGTCCATGACACAACAGTCCCCGCCCTCCTCCTCCTCCTCCAAACCGCCTCCCCTTCTCCCCAAATTCCATAGGATCCTGCCTCCCAGGAGGAAGGTGGTGAGTCACAGGTTAGGCTCATTTCCACAAAAATCCAGTCTGTTTACAGGGGTCACCACTCTTCAATGGTATCTGAGCTGTCATCTCCCTAGTTCCTGAGGTGTCGATCCTGCTCGCATCTTTGCAGAGCTGACCACAGATTTCCCTAAGGATCATATCTTCTAACCAAGAAAACATTGCAAGCTGAGACTGCACTCTCCAGCTGGAGGCGTTCTGAGGCAAGCCTAGTGCTGCTACGTGCTGAGTAGTATGGAAGCATGGTGTTCCAAGAGCCCTGCAGGGCCCCACAGCTTGGGATCCTCATGTTCTTGGCTATCTTCATCTGTGTTTTCCCAGCCCACTTTTCCCTCTGACTCTGAAGCACTGGTTAAACTCTACACAGTGCCTGTTTGTGCTGCAAACCCTGCCTTCCCCTTCACAGCTTCAACCTGACAGATCTCAATAAGAAACACCTGCAGAAAACACCTGGTACACCAATGCTTCCCTCCCCTGCCCAGCCTTGTGCCCTTTCCCCCCAACGATCGATGATGGAGTCTCAGCTTGTGCACAGAACCTCAGTGGTGACACCATTGCTTCAATGTCAGAAAAGGAGCAAAGAATGTACCCTTGCAACTGAATGTATCTCATTGTTCACTGGCACAGTAGAGATCAACGGTTCCTCTGCCTGCCTTTTACTGCCTTATCCTGGAAATATTTGGGGAAAATAAGCCATATCGGTATGACTGACCTGAAAACAAAGCAGTGAAAGTCACCGTGAAAACCAAGTGAACTGATTTCTTCTAGGTTTGGTGGAGCCTAACTGGCCTAGACATCAGAATGCCTGAGTTCTAGGTCATGGCCTGCCAAATGGGAAATTCATAACCTTAGATCTTAGTTTTCCCACCTAGTGAATAAGAAATAAGTCATGATTGCTGAAGTCCTTTCTGCCCTTAATATTGTATGGATATCAGGGTTAGGGGGGGAATCTGGTTATTTTAATAGTTTCTTTTATAGTCAAATTTCTAGCTTCATTAGGGAAAGAGTATGACCCACATAACAGTTAAGGAACATATATTTGGCATTGGTTCAGGGTAAGAATTTGATATAATACTACTCACCCTGTTAGAGGAAAGCAGATGACCTTAAGGGAAGTAGAAGGACATCATTAAGAATCTCGTCTGGTTGGAAGTATACAACCAAGAAAGGAAATAGGCAGAGAGATGAAAAGTCTGGGCATGAAGTTCATGGGCAGATTACCAACTTTATTTGCAAGCAGGCTTTGGGTTTTTGTTTTTTGCTAGGCAGCCTCTAGCCAGCCTCCCCAAGTCCCTGCTTTATTAACATCTCAGCTCCATCTGTTGACTCTACTTGGAAGACACTCTTTGAAAGCTAAATACCCAGATGCCTCTAGGCTCAGGCTGATGCTGTCCTGGGTGGTGCAAAGTTTCCAGACACATAGATTCACCTGTGAGACTGGAGTCTGATCTCACTCTGAATCAGAATGCTATGGGATTCATCATGATTGGAACTGCCAGGGGAGTTCTTCCTGCACAGGGATCAAGTGAATTCTGAAGTGATGCTCAGCTTCCGAATGCCTGAAACAGGCAAACTGCTGACCAAGAAGTGTTGTTGAAGGTTGAATCCTTTTTGCTGAGGAGGATGAACCTTTGAGTACTTCAGGCTGAAAGGAAAACTTACAAGGATTCAAAGAATCGTGGCCTTGATGGGTCAAGTGACCTGTTCTGAAACAGGCTGAAGTACTGAGTACATCTCAAGACCCCATCCCACAAAACTCTATTAGAAGGGATCTGTTCTGGATTTTAAAAAAAAAAAAAAAAAAAACCCTGGCCTTGTCTGGACTTTCAAATCAGTGGACCTGATGTCACAGTACCCTTGGCATCTGACCCTCCTCCCCGCCAGCGGAGAGACATTCCAATAGAGAATCCAGCGTCGTGCTGAGATTCTTACTCAGAAATCACTTTTAGGGGTGTGTGTTGTGGCACGTGTGTGTGCGTGCACGTGTGTGTGCGTGTGTGCGTTTGTAACCCCAAGTGTACTTTGCTCTCCAAGTGTGCAGTATCACCAGAAACAACGGGAAAAAGAAATCTTTCCTTCTTAACAGTTCTGTTCCTAACACCGCGTGCCGCCTCAGAGCTTTTTCTAGTTCAATGAGCCTCTGTCCTCAATGACGCACTTGGCGTGTTGATGCCTCAGCCCAGCAGCATCCCTTCACTTGTGCCCCCCGTGACGCCTCCTTCTCCTGCGGTGCAGATGCCAGTGTGGATGGCCAGCCTTGTGACTCTGCTCCTCCGTGAACAGGTGTACCAACCTCGGCCCCTCCTCCACACTAAGCCCCCAGACTCAGCCTCCGTGAACTGCCGAGCTCCCCCTGAGCATGTCGTCCGTGACCCAATCTCTACTCTCTGAAACTCCTTAGGGGTGTCATCCCAACCTCTCTGCTGCATGAGTCATAAATTATGAAATCAGTCTTATGGTTTTTGAAATGTAGCCAGCATTTGTAAGGCTAAACCTTTTTCATGAACTGAATTGAAAGTGAATAACCCAGCCGTAGTCCCTCTTCAAAAGCGGGACGATGACCGACATTTGGATTTCTTTGTCCTTTCCAATGGCAATGGCATCGGGTTCTAAAATAAGCTCGTAATTTTTCCTGTTATTTTAATAATATGGAAATATTAGCATAGTGTTTCTTTTGATAGTGATAGATTATAATCCATATTTAAATTTTATAGAGAAGAAATTTTATTGTACTGTGATGTAGATATTTATTATCCAGGTAAGGCATTGCCCGGTGTGTATTTTTTACAATTGAAAACATTTTACTTTCATCTTTAAAAAAATATGTTAAAAACACAACATACATAATAAAAATTAAGATAGGGAGAAAAAAAAAGGTTTGGCCTTATAGCAGAATTTTTACTGTGTTTATAAATGTTTGCAAATGCAAAATGTGCATTTCCAGTGTGTTTCCACAGTCCTTGATGCCGCCTTTAAGAGCAATATTGTGCAGATAAAATGCTGTTTGTGGCTTTCTGTTGCACAGTTAAAACGGACCCACCTTATGCACAAGACAATCAACTAGACATCTGCCCTCCTCAGGATGCAGATAATACTCGTGTAACTTTTGGAGCACAAAGTAAGACAGAAGAAGACACTTGACACATGTATTATTAATATAGAAATTGTCAGGGCATAAACGAGCTGGCGTGATGGTGTGCCATTTCTTTGTTTTGGGCCTCCCTTCACTTGGCAGTTTTAATTTGATTGTAAAGCCAAATTCGTTCTCCATTCTTCAGTCAGAGAAAACTTTGTTTTTCCATAATGCTTTTATGCCCTGAGAATCTGAAAAAATACTTACAGACTAAAACAGATCTACAATCATTGTTTGCAACCAGTGTTTTGCAACCAGTGTTAAGTGATATTGCTAGATTGGTAATATTTTTTTTTTCAGCCTAAAACTCTGTTGACATCTGTGATCAAAATGTTTTGAACTATCCAAAAAGAAAATTTGTATATTTGGGAAAAAATGGATTTTGACATAGCTTTTGTATGCAGATATTAAATTGTAATTATGAATATAGTGGGCGTAGACAAACTCATAAGCTTAAATTCTAAAACAGAAAAAAAAAAGAAAAAGCTTATAATGAATGCACTTTCCTGTCTCTTTCTTAAAATATTCCTATTTTCTACAGAGAAACAGAGTTGCCAACCCTCCTTAGCTGCTGCCAATGGGCAGGCCACAGGATGGATGGGCATTTGTTTCCTCGACATCCGCTGGAATAAGCATTTACTCAGGAGTGCGGGGAAAATGGAGAGCAGAGAAAAAAAAATGCTAATCACGGGTTAACCACTTTGGAAGAGGCCATAGATAAAGGGGGAGGAAAAGGGGGCTCAGTTATTGCAGCCCAAGGATTTCGTTGGTCATGTCTCAAAATATTCCAGAGTATTTTTACTAAAATGGTACTAACATCTGCTACTGTATTAGTCAGCTTTTCTTTACTACAATAAGATGCCAGAGGTAGCCTAACCTTTAAAGGAAACAGACTTATCTGAGTCCATCGTGTTCAGGCCCATGTTCAATTGGACCCACTGGTTTGGCCTCTGGCATTGGCATCCCTGTGGGTAGAGGCCGTAGGCAGTGCACAGCATCATATGGCAAGAGACAGGGAGCTTGTATCTGTCCATGCCTCTACGGTCTCCTAGGAAGTCAACAGAATACAGTCACAGGAGCTCCACCCAATCATTCCATCGACTCCAATGACCTCTTAAAGGCCCCTGTCTCACTTCATGGCACATTGGATCAGGTTTCCGCCTCTCCGTAGCATTAACACAAGTCTTTGGAGGAACACACGTTTGGTTC